GATTAATGGCACACGTCATTATGTCCCCACGTGACGCCATCCGACATCCCCTCCGGAATTTCACGTATAAACATATAGTTAGTCTTCGTGATGATGCCATGTACAGTTTTGGGTGTTTCATTTTTAATTTTAAGTGCAGTTAATTATTTGTACGTGCATACAGACGACGGTGGGTGTTGAAGCTCTTTTATTTGCCGTCAAACGGTTAAGCACTGCTGTGTGTATACCCTGTCGCAACATGCAGCGAAAAGTCCTACACGACGGTAATAATGTGATTAAGGTGTTTACATGTCTATTCTGCACTTCAGTAATGCGACTAAAATAGGAATACTCCACATGTCTTAATTCGATTTCTGTTTACTCCGATTATGACTTTAGCCGGATTAAGGTCATCAAAAATCTGTTTACATGGTAGATTCTTAATCGTATTAAAATCAGAGTATTGTTGTCCATGTAAACGTACTCCGTGATCCCAAACACAGCCAAAGAAACTCGATTGGTTTTAGAAAAAGAATATAAAGCTGCTAGAATGGCCCAGCCAATCATCTGACTTGAATCCAATAGAAAATAAGAACTAAAGATCAGAGTTCATATTAGAGGCCCACAGAACCTTCAAGATTTGAAGACTCTGTGGAAGAATGGGCCAAAATCACACCCGAGCAATGCATGCCACTAGTTTTCCATACAGGAGGCGCCTTGAAGCTGTGATTACTAGGGATGGGTATCGTTCAAAAATTTTCGATACCGATACCTTGACTTCGATACCGGTTCCTGAACGATACTTTTTTCGATACCAATTTTATGAAATCAATTTTAACAAGATTACATCTAAAAAATAAAAGCTTTTTTTCAGCTTGTTGATGCTTATACCAACTCAAAGACTCATCTCCTTAGCTACTGCACAAAAGGAACAAAATGTAACAAACAATAATTCAGTGCAAATAGTTTTAATAAAGCTCAAATAGTCAGTTTACACATCTGTTAGACTACATTTACACTAGTGTTCCTTTTAAAACGCATAGCTCAGACAGAATCATGATTTCTATTTATTTTCCACTGATTTACTGATGAGCATTAGCAGCTTCCAGCACTGTCTGCTTGTGCTCTCTCTTCCATGATCGCTGACGGTAGTCAGAGGTAATAACATTTAATTTCAGCAACATTACATGGCCAAATCCACGCCGCTCCCGCGCTACTCTCCATTGGAAATTAATGACTGAATGACGGGTCTGTTGCTTGTCGGAGATAGTGGAAAGCCGGCTTGAAACGCAGTATGACGAGGATCGTTTTCATTTTAAAACATAAATGCACCAGTGTAAATGTAGCCTTACATCTATGGTGGCTGGGACACATTCGCACTACAGCCTCACGTGTGCGCCACATCTCTGAGTGTAACCGGTGTAAACTAGTAGGTGTGTTTGACTTGACGCGGACCGACTGTGCAGACCGATCGGTGTATTACAGTACCACGAGAGCTAAAGAGAGCAGACTGCTCCGTGCGCTTTCGAATCGCTCTCGCGGATGATCGATCTGCTCCGCACCTCTTCTAGTCAAACATTCCGGTGTTGTGCCGAATTCTGCACCCCTGCCAGATTATGCACCCCCTCGTTGAAGTCGCTACCTGATTGCCTAATCCCAACCCCACCCCTAATCCTAACCCCTCTCCCACACCTACTCCTAAACCTACCAATATTAGGGGGTGCATAATCTGGCAGGGCGCACCGGCTAGTGCTGCAGGCTTATTGGCTCACTGACGCTGATGATATTAATCCCTTAGGTATCGAAATTTGGTACCGAACGACAAGACGTTTTTCGATACTCGATGGTATCGAGGCATTTCGGTCGGTGCCTAAAAATTATCGAACTCGATACCCAGCCCTAGTGATTACCAACAAAGGCTTTTGTACAACAAAATACTTTTTCCCTGTGTCATTCCATTTTATTACACACAACTTAATTTCTGAACTTATTTGTGTTGTTTTCTTTGTATGTATGGATTACTTTGGTTGTTACCAACATCTAGTGAAATTTTCAAGTCAACAGCACCTATAAAAATATATTTACTGAGAAAAATGGTGACGTG